GCTGTCTACTCAGATTGAATCTGTGGGAACTAAAAAAAAAAAAAGTAAGTTATGGACTATTAAAGATGTCGTTGTGTGATTGCACAACCAGTGTATTAAAAGGCTCCACTCAAAGTTTAGAACACATAAAAGGCAAAACGCTCTGAATGTCCCAAAAATTTCCAAGGCAAAATAAAATTAAATAAATAATTGCGCTCTCTAATTAGCTTATTCCATAATAATTTCATCACAATGTGTCCAACTTCCTAATGTAAACCTGTGTGCATGAACACATTAAAGTGCCAGAGAAAAAAGCCATAGACTGGCTAATGGAGGTTGAGTCACATTTGTGTCTTCTCTAACTGCAGCAGGTAATTTTAAGTCACAAACAGAAGCCATTAAATCTCTCCACTATGAAATGGAACATCTGCATAAACTGGAATCCCATCGAGACAGACAAAAGCTGTTAAAGTTGCCCAGTTGGAAGGCACAGAAATTATTTTTTTTCCCCTCAGGATCATCATGCCTGCTTGATATACTAACACACACTGATGTCGGCTGTGCGCTAATTCTTTCCACCCAAGAAGCAAACATCAAATAATTTAGGCAGGAACACTTATTATGTAAATGCCGCCACCTGTCGCATCTACAGCCTTCTTCATTGAAGTTGTACCAATCTAAGAACAAATGACTTAAAATCAGCACTCAACAATAACATGCTTCCCTCAGATATTCCCCTAAGAGCCCATGCAAGAAAATGAAAAGCAACTGGGACCAGTTGATGTTTCCCTTTGTTTCAATTGTTTCAAGGCAAGAGAAATTAATAATTTTTCATTTCCTGCCTGCTCAATGTCCTAAGCAGGCAGTTTTCAGCTTAAAGTTTCAGCTTAAAATTTTCTCAGTCACACAGGTCAGACATTTATTTTCTGAATATGAAAAGACATCTCCACAAATTAAATTTTTGATCAGAATAAATCTTTTCTTCTTTGGTTCAGCTAGTATTATACCACTTGGGATTAAATAAGGTAAGATATCAGCTAGCTGCATTTTGGCAATGAGGCAACAATGACATTTTTGAATGTCTTTATCTAAAAAGAGAATTGAAAATATCAATATTTTGTAAATATGTAAATATGCAGTGTTACATATGTAAGTATTGACAGCTATCACAGTTCTTAGTAAAGAGAGGTGTCACAGAGATGATGTTTTGGTGCAAGAGGTGAGCATCCAACACAGATCAAAAGAAAAACATTTTATTAAGATGCTGGCTGGAGCTGGTAACAATGTCATGACTCACAGTGGTACAAGTCCTGCACTGCAAAGCCGTAAAAGTCACTTAAAGAGGAAGAAACCAATTCTCAAAATGCATAATAAAAAAACAGATTGCAGCTTGAAAATACAGGAACGAAGAAATGCATTTTTGGAAATATGTTCTTTAGCTTCAACAGGAAATATGAAGCTAAAATGTACCATAAGCTTCATTATGATGGGTGGCAGTTATTGTAATAATACAGGAAATTTATGGGAAACTACTCTAATAAGGGAGCACGGCAGAAAACAGTGGTAAAGGCAGATAACTTTGCCAAATTCTCCTTGTTCGCAAAACATTCAATTTAACTTGGTGACAGTTTTTTATGAGTCTTATCTTTTGAGAAGCAAACAAATTCTTTAAAGAAAACTTGAAAATGAAAATCTAAAGATTTTTTAATTGAGGTGTGGGTCATATTACTTGCGGAAATGTTACTGAAGCTGCACTAAATTAGGCAAGGAGGAATGTAAGCTATATCCTTGATGTCAAGAAATACGATCAATGTTCTGTTCTTGTTTATTACTGGAGCAAATTAATATGCAAGAGACCAAAGCTGATTTTCAGCGGTGTCTGTTTTACAATTACCAACTTAGACATGTGTTGCTCATGCTGTGTTGGATCAAGTCATGAGCAGTAGAGAGTGTATAATGGGGCTGGATAGAGAAGCCAAAGGCCATTTCATAAATATGGAGAAGAGGGCAGATGGAGTCTAGAGACACATTGCATGTTAATTATGAGCACATCTCTTTTCTCTGTGAGGGTGTGTTGTGTACGAGGGGGTTAAATTACAAAGAGCAGTCCACTAAACTTTCATTTTTATAAAAGCAAGATAAAAATGAGCATTAAAGGCTCACATTATTTCATCACGGTAGCATCTAAGTGGTGCAAACAACAAATTAAGGTTTTGTCAAAATGTTGTTAGTGTCGCTACAACTGAAAAATTAATCTGTCTTCATTCAGAGCTTGCAACACTGTTTATGTTTCCCAAATGAAGGTTTCTCCCTCAGTGGCATGAACTGTAGTCTTGTGCTTTGAAGCTCCAGCTCGACCTAACCAGATGAGGCAGTTTTCGAGCCTCGCCTCTTGTTGTTCAGGAAGAATGCTTTGTGACAGGTTGTCGAAGATGACTGCGGGCAATGAACCTCATTGCCAATCACTGAAATGTGCATGACATCCATACACACCCCACCCAAATCTGGCAAAGACACACACAGCCAAAGACAAGACGTACTGTTATGCTCAGGCAAGATTTTTTAAGCTAATGCCCTTTGTAGTGGATGAACTTGTGAATGAGTTAGACCAATAAAAAGGCCTCTATTTCACAAAGCTACCTTTTATTTAGCTATAAGTAAACATAAACCAATGTATAATTTGCTGAAACCTTTTCATCATTTGTGATGCCTTAACAGTGTGTGAAAACCCAATCAGATTTTTAAAATATAATTAAATATGAGCTGGACTCCTCTCATCTAATTTCCATCGTGGCAGGTAGTCACAAGCAGCATACTTGCTGGGTTTGTGATTACAGCAGAAAATTATAATGTCACCTCAGTACCATAAAGTAGATTCATCAAAATAAAGAACACTGTCTCTGACTAAATCAGAGGCAGCCACTTTAACTTGTTGCATGCTGGGAAAGTAGCAGCAGGGAAGAGTCTGCTGCTACAGTGTTAAAAAGTAATTTTAGCCAGGAATTAATGAGGATATGTTAAAACTGTAAAGTTAAGTTTATACATAAATAAATTCATTGTTTAAGGCCATCCATGCATTGCAGCACAATAAGAGTTAACAATATATATGTCTATCTGCCATAAAGGATAGATATTTTTTATTTACACTTTAAAAAATCAAAGATGAAGTGTCTGTTGTGTTTTGAATTATTAGACAATTTTGAGATCTGCTACATACACATTCATCTCTACTGCTATACTTTGAGTTATACTATATATCCATTTTGCCGGTAAAAATCCTCCCAGACTTTTTCTTTTAGGTGTTTCTGTTTTTGTAAATGTCTCTCTTGCACGACCCAATAGCTCTGGGTTGGGCGAGGTGTAAGCATAAATTTTATAGTGAACCACTTGAAAAGCCCACAACAACAACCATGACATTTGCATAAAACCTGAGTAGATCCAATGAGGAGAAAGATCAGGCATGCTAAATAAGATTAGCCAGCCAAATAAAATGGACCGGTTATGCTGGCTGTGCAGGATGTGTTACTTGCAAGCCCGATAAAAACGATTTGCATGTTAGCAAACAATTTTAGACAAGTTAATTTTTGTAATAAGATTTTTCATGTTCCTAAATAAGACTACATAGATGCCTAAACCGAGCAGTAACCAGAAATAAATCTGTAGTGAGTTCTGTGCAACTCACTACATCTTCATTTCTCTAAAATTAGTTTTCCTACATGCAAGCGATTATCTGTATCCATCAAAACATAGAAATATGCAAATATTTTGATTCTAAATGTTTTTTCAACATTTATTTATTAAACTTATTAGTTTAGCTAATTAGTTATTAGTTGTAATAGAAATGCTTCACTGGAAAAGTGATTTGATTTTATATTTTTAGTGTTATAGGTTTTATTAGAACCTTCACAGAACATGACACAAAAAGAACAGCAAGATTAGCAACAACAAGCAGTGTGATCTGTTACCACCAGCTTTCCTCCCAGCTTCAAATGGCAGAGCGACAAATTTAGCAACAAGCTGGAAAACAGTTAGTGAGGCATTTAGGAGCCATATGGGTCTGTTTTTCAGAGAGGAGACCTCAATGAAAGATAAAATGAGCATTCATTGACTAAATAAATTAAAAATAACAAAATGATCCCAGTTCTATTTGACGGTACTTTAAAGTAATTTATGATAAACTGAATTTCAAAAATACGATGAAATCAAAGAAAAATCACACTGGTTATGTAAACGTCATTATATCATCAGTAGAATTAGTGTTTTGGAGAAATAACTTATACTTTCTTTATTTTTCACATTCAAAAGTATCTTTCCTTTCTGGCAGAATTTGTTGAATCACATTTTCAGATAATACTCTAAAATAATCACAGTATTTTAGAGTATTATTTTGAAGTCAGAAAAAGCAATGATGTAAAGACTTTGTCCACCATATTCTGAATCTTCTCCCAAGCCTTCAACAGCAAGTCTCCTACATGACCCAGCTCCACATCCTGTCCACCCTTCCCTTCAACCCCTCTCTTGAATAAATCTTGAAACCCATATCATTGTGGTAAGGCCCTTGCTAATGAACACTATTACTACTACTACAATCAATAATTATCCATCGTTTTAATGAAAGGTAGAATACATCCTGGGCAGTTCAACAGTCCCTCACTAGGACAGAGACACTTGGGACAAATGCACGCACAAAAACATAGACCTAAGGGAAATTCTTAATACTTAATCTTACATGCATGGTTTTTTACTGTGGAAGGAAGCTGGAGAACCCGGATATAACACAAGCATGCACGGGGAGAGTTAACAATTGACAATTGTACAGTTGTACAGACAAGCAAACACAAATTTCAAATAGTCAGCATCCTACGCTATGTTTATTCTTTCCAAGATCCAAAATATTTGTCAGGATTTTATTTTGAAGGAACTTACCGGATGTAGTTATTTTTATGAGTCACATGGTGCACTCTGTGGGAAGTACGGTTGCAAGTTGCCCTCTGTGATTTTATTCCGCTAAAGGTAGGTTACTTACTAAGGGTAGCATCTCTGCTAATATTGCTGGTCACAGTCCCCGTGTTTCTCGGCTTATTGCTTGAATGTAATGACATTACGATCCGAAGTACGTGTGTTTTTGCTCGAAGTTCAAAGTTTACAGCGTGTTCAGGAGCACTTTCGTCCTTCAGGGAAAACAGCTGCGTCCATCAGAAGTTTATGACATGAACGTAAACATACGGCGGCTAAATAATTGCATTTAACCTTTAATTGAAGTACATTTATGTACTCTGACTTCTTAAGCAACAGCAAAACAGTTTGTAACTTTGGTGTTAGTGGCTCTATGCAGATTTAGTATAATACATATTTAATGCCTCCTCTGCTAATGTGTTTGTTTTATTTGTCAGAAATGTCAGTGATGAACGCCCAGCCCAACTTCAGCCCCTCTCAGGTGTCTGAGATCATGAAGAGGCTCTACAACCTGACCGCTTCAGAAATACGCCCTCTGCCCAGCTATGATGACCAAAACCTCTATGTGGTTCCCACTGAGGGTGGCGAGTACGTCCTAAAAATCATGAACTCGGAGGACAGTAAGAACCCCACCATCATTGAGTTGCAGACCCATGCCATGTCCTTTCTTTACCAGAATGGACTTCCTGCTCAAACAGCCGTGCCTACCACCTCAGGACAACTCATGAGCCTGGAAGAAATAGGTATGAGTCAAGATTTGGTTCAAATATGTGGAGTGTAGCTGAAAGAAACAGACCTGTCTTCCAACTGCTTTGAAACAAAAGCTTATATTACGACTGAAGGCGAGTTAAGTCTAAGCATTCATCAGGTTTGTGTATGTCTTCTCTTGGAGATGGATTCATGCTGGTTTAGTTTTCGCTGTAGTTCTTTCATAGAAACATTGGTTCATGTCATGCTGGTTTTGAAAATGCCATTGTGATCTCAGTGGTGCAAACTCATTTTGAAAGGGGATTTGAGTGGATAGAGTTTTAGCACTGAGCTACATCTTTAGAAATTGCACTACAGATTGCTTCAAATATGAAACAATCTGTAGTGTTGATGACTAAATTCCAATGAAACGGATGTTTCGTCGCTGCAATGGGTGTGAATACCCATGCGAAGCATTGTAACTACTTCGGTTTGCTTTATTAAATTATTTAAATTCTGAAATGTTGTAATGAGTTTATTTTCCAGTCACGTTTAAAATAGAATAATACTTCATATTATCTGCTGCGGTGAGAGACCTTGATCCCCAAGTTAAGCCGTGCCAGACCCCCCTGCGTTGGTTGGAGTTGCATGGTCCTTTCTTGACATGCAGAAACCAATGTCTGTAGTTTCTGTCTAAGCCCTTCCTTTCTCTCTCAGGGTCACAAGTTCACAGCCTCATAAATATTAATATCCAAGTACAGCTGTAATGAGGAACACGTCCTTATGAAAGATCAGAGCACATAAGTTCTTTATTTATGCGGTTGAAGATTGAGGAAAATAATCGCAAGGCTACTTCTGTCTTTTTCTGTGATAGATTGTGGGTATGGCTGTCAGAAGTACTTGGTCCGGCTGCTGACTTATTTACCTGGAGTGACTATTTCTAAGGTTCCTTTTACTCCAAAGTTATTATATGAGACTGGCAGGACGGCTGCTAGAATGGATGAAGTCCTTCAAAAGGTAAGATGGATACACACCAGTGAAACTAACATTTTACTTTAAAGCAAAAATGCTAATGAAAATGTTTCAAGTTATATTGCTTTAAGCACATCTTGCATTGCTAAGCTTTCAAAACTAAAACAAGTTGACTACAAACATGCTCATTTTTATTTAGCTGCTTTCGTTTTCATTTTAGATGGTGCACCCTCATCTCAGCATTCTGGAGAGGGAGAACTTTATCTGGAGCCTGTCAAACGTTTGTCTCCTGGAAGAATACATGAGTGTACTAGATGGAGATCCACTTCAGGAGGTTGTGAAATCTGTCATTGATCAGTACAAAAACTCTGTGATCCCCAGACGATCCAATTTTCGCAAATGTGAGTACAAAATTCCTTTGGAAGATTTAATGCAGGCAAAGATGAGCTAAAGGTTTTATTAAAGCCGTTTCCTTTTTGTTGCAAGGTATTAATCATGGCGACTTTAATGACCTGAACATTCTCGTGCAACCCGATGACGATCATGGCTACAAGATTTCTGGCATCCTTGACTTTGCGGACATGAACAGTGGCTACTACATTAATGAACTTGCCATCACCATAATGTACATGATGATTGAACATCCTGATCCCATCGCGGTGGGTGGGCCTGTCCTTGCAGGCTGGGAAAGTGTCTTCCCCCTCAACAAGGACGAGAAAAACTGCCTCTACGTGCTGGTGCTCTCCCGCTTCTGCCAGTCGTTGGTTATGGCACGGTATTCCGTGATGCTGCACCCAGAAAACGAAGAGTACCTCATGACAACTTCCAGAAAGGGAGTTAAAATCCTGCAAAAGGTCTGGGAATTGGGAAAAGAGCATGTGGAGAAGGTTTGGTTTGACCATGCTGCTCAACTCTGTGTTTGAATAGAAAAAGATATTGCCGTATTTTCCAGACTATAGAGTGCAGCTTACTATAAGCCACATCTACAAAGTTTTTGAAAAAGCCTGGAAACGTACATATATAAGCCGCACCGGGCTATAAGCCGCTGGTATCTCTGCCGCTCTCAGTTTGTCACATGGATAATAATAAATAATAAATCTGCTGAATATATTACGGACACAACCCTCCTTTTCCAATGTCGATTCATTCAATTCGTCCAATGGATTCGTTCACGCCAAGATTGCATGCAGCGGCTTCATTTCCCTCCTGTAGTACCAGATCGATAGCCTTCAACTTAAAAGCTGCATCATATGAACTTCTTCGTGTGGTTTCCATGATGAGGGGGTAAGAGTTCGAAGAAATTTCTCCGTCGTACAGCTTGTGCTCGTTCTAAATGAAAATTAGCGCTCCTTTGATTTCCAATTTTGACTTCCAATGATTCACTTTCTGCTAAAGAGCCCCCTGGTGGTTGGAGAAAAATCTACAGAAAAGATGCACCGGGCTATAAGCCACATGGTTCAAAGCGTGGGGAAAAAGTAGCGGTTTATAGTCCAAAAATACGGTAATTTTCTATTCAAACACTTTCATTAATAAACTTCAGTGAAGACATTTTCTTAACTTCAGTTAAGAAAAGGAAGAACAACTGTAGGAAATTATAACTGTTAACAATGGTGCCATGCTTTGATTCAGAATAGTTATAAATTAGAAAATCATTGTAGAGTTAGACTTATTTGTGGTAGATTTATACACAGTGTTAATTCAGGTGATTATGGCATACAGACAATGAAAAATAGAATATTATGTAAAAACAAAGTAAATCGTTCTTAATAGATATTCCTAAGATACATTTTCACATTGTGTTCAATTTATTCTCTTACTTGGTCTGGGCCTCTCTGGAGTGAATTACTGGATCAGTGCAGCATGGCATGGAAGTGATCAGTTTTACTCAGGTGCTAAGAAAGCCCAGATTGTTCAAATAACTGTGTGAATCATGTCTGCATTCCTGGTTCTGGTCTACCTCATCTTTTTGACCATACCCTGTATATCCTTTTGTGGTGGTTAGGTTTTGGTACCTTTGGCAGTTTGGGCAGGTGCCTTCTTCTGCTGGAAAATATATTTAGCATCTCCATAAAGCTTTGAAGGAAGCACAAAGTGCTCTAATATTTCCTGGTATGTCTGTGCTCATTTTGGACTTAATGATAAGCAGCAGGTCAGAATCAGCGGATGAAATGTCTGCCCAGTAAGTGATGCCAAAGCATCATTTACTGTGGAAACTTCACACTACAGCCTTTCTATTGGCTTTTGGATCATATTATATTATGGATTGTTAAAACAAATCAGCACATGTGCTTTGAAATACACCTGAAACCTTATCCTAATATATGACTGACAGAGAATATGTCACCAGTTTCTGGATTAACTGAGTGCTAAAGAGTCGAGTCTTTTGGGTTTTAAGCACTTCAGAATTGCTCTAAATAACAGGAGCTCACTTGTGAACAATGCTTTTTTAGTATTCAATGCTTTACTTTATTATTTATTATATCGTAAGGCACTTATGTATTTGATTTCCAAGTAAATATTTTATGTTAGCATGATTTTATAAAAGAAAATTCACTAAGAAGGAAATATTTTCTCTTCCATAAAACATTGCTCCACATTTAAAACATTCATTTGGGGACATTTAAGCTGCCCTGTTTTAAAACCCAGTAAATGTGTTGAATGTGAGGAGAAGTGATTTGCTTTTGTACATTTCTTTTAAAAAAGCAACAAATGATGGAATCTCTGCTATAAATTCTGTGCCTTGTTGGTTTTCTTTCTAGTAATGTTTATTCTTACAAGACTTTCACAAATTAAAGTTGGTGCTCCCAATGGTTTACAAATGAATAGCTTAAAGGTTTATTTTCCATCTTTATATTATCGCTAAGGCGTCTTTGTTGGACATGCTCTTATATTTTTTCAGTGTACTGTATTTCAACCAAACCAGGTGGAAGTGAAAGAGGAAGTCCTTAAAAGTTGGCACTTTATGTAGGAGATCCTTCATTTTCATGATCCAGAATAAAATGATCAGGTGGAGTCATCAGGTGAACTTTAACTATTCTGACTTATACATGTATGTTGAACCTCTTTTGGTCTCTGGTAAATGACTGATTTCTTTTGTACTATTAATTTTAGTCTCAAACATGCCTTATGTGGCTGATTGTACAAATGTCTGTATAGCAAAGCACATATTAATCTGGCAATAAAACAACTTGTGAATTTTTGCTGTTGTTTAGCAACATATTTGTGTCTCTTGCACAAGATGCATGTTTTCCTGATCAATGTAATTATCATTTGAACAGATTAGAGGTGAAGTGTTTAGAAATGATTAAGAATGTAGAATAACACCACAGATCAGCAGTCTGGGTAAAATATGATGTAATACTGCCCTCGTGTGGTGGCTTTTACAACGTCACTGTCATACAACTTTAAATGGGGAATAACGGTAAGAACAGCATAGCAATATTGAAAATAATGAAAAAGTTTAATTTCATTTCAGAAAGCAAAGTCCTGTGTGTTTATGTTGTCCTGTGATGTACTAGTAGCCTGTCCAAAGTCCACCTGTCCCTCAGTGACTCTGCAAGGATAAGCAGGTATAGATAATGGATAAGTGTCCAAAACTGGATTGAACTGAGCTGCCTTAATACCTTTTCCAAATAATTTTGAACTAAACTGCTTTTTGACAAAACTAAAGTTTCTCAATACATAATAGTGGGGTAAAGCTCAAGTCAAGCAAGATGAACATAGAATAACTATCTTTTTTTTGTTTTTGATTTTAGAAACATATTTCCAAATCAAAATTGTTTCATCATCACTCCAGTCTTTAAGTCCTAAAAAAGTGCAAGTTGAAAGCATATTCTCAACATTGCATTGAACTACAAAAGAGTGACAGAACAGTCACCTGTTCTTTGTTTAAATGCTAGTCATTTAGTCATTGTGATATGTACTAAAAGAAAACATACTTTTCATTATTTTTTCAGTGTTTCTGTTAGGTATAGCTGTAATGTTAAGAAGACTACAGACTGTCGCAGCACAGACTCCTTTTGGAAGGAACTTCACTGATTGCTGACAACCATGTAGAAAGGAAAAGCAATAGCTCTATCTGCAGCGTGTCAAATCTTACAGTATTCAGCTTTCAGCGTAGGTATGCCGACCTGTCAGTGTTACTCAGCGCTGAGGTCCTAATCAACTCAGCTGTTTATAATGACACAGATGGTAAAGTTTAGGTTATTAGGTTAAACTCGTTAACTTCACAGCCAACATTATGCTTGGGCTTACATATGGTTGAATTTATAGATTAATGTGGCTGCAGTCAGAGTAATCAGCGGTGCCGGCTGCCAGTGCTGCGGATAGAAAGCGCTTGAGGGGATTAAGAAATAGGTTTCAGCTTTCATACATCTGCAATGAGAATGAGGAGAGGAGTGCTTTATGATGAAAACAACACCGCTGCCTCTCTCAGGCTCACCTTTTGGCCCACATTAAACATTACATTACTTAGTGAAGTCATGTTGTACACTTGTAATTCCAAGTGTAAAACCGTAGTGTGATTGTTTTTGTTTGTCTAACCTCATATGAAGGTAGACACAGCGGTAATGGAAATGCTAATGCAGAATCTGCAGTCTGAAAATTTAAAGTCGGGATGTTTTAAGTGGATGGAATGACGTTTTTCTTTGGTGTTATTATAGAGCCCCGAGATGCAAATAAGTCTCAATACAATTTTTCTATCTACCCCTTGATATGGCACACTTTGAAGACTGATGAATCCCCTGCTTTCTTAGATATTTTGCAAGAATCAGTTCATCTGAGGTTTCTGTGGTCAATACTGTGCTTTTCAATGTCGTCTCAAAGCAGTGTAAGAATTTCCACAAATGAAGGTTTCCTAATTCAATTGCTTCATCAGAAAAATAGGCTATAAATACTCCATCAGACTAAGAGAAAAGTGTTTTTAAAAATTTAATTTATGCCAGTTCTTTACTTTAGGTTTGAATCTAAGTTTTTAAAGTAAAGAGGACTTGCTCAAAAGCTTACTGAAAACTTAAATGCATGTATAATATTTGGAAAATAATTGCAAAAAACCAGAGTAGTTTCACTCAAAATGGAGAAATCAGCCTTGCGTACAATGCATGACAACTATTTGTAGCAACCACAACTCAGAAAACTGTCTGAGTCCAGTTTCTTGCTTGAATGGAAGCTTGGTACTGAGTCTATTCCTCGGAAACAACTTTCTCATATAAACCAGACAGACCCCTCTGGAGGACCAGCCAAACAACAGCCACTGTTAAAATGTGAGTCTCTCCAGCATCACAGAGGAAGAAAGCAATGGTGAGATTTTTACCCACAACATTACATCATATTTCAAATAAACAGTCTACTAAATATTGCATGTTTAAACTATTTAAACACACGTAATTATTGTGCTGAATAAAAGCAGCTTCACTTTCAAGCATTCAATAATGAACCCTCTGATGAATTCTGAGCTAATTGAAGGTTACAAGAAAATGAGACAGTTACCTTTGTGATACCTAATTCAGCTATAGGTGGCTTTCAAATAAAATAGCTTGAAAGTAAGACAAGATATTCACTGTTTTTGACAATCTAGCTTGCAGTTTTGACAAAGATGCTATATTTTGTTTTGTTTAAATAATGCAGTGAAGCTGACAGCTAACGTAGGCAGAAGAGCAAAGAGTGTCTGGAGTTGAAAGATTGAAATTAAAGTTTCATTATATTTCTGACAGTATGCCTTTTTTTTAAAATAAGATGCACTGTCACGTATTTCAGTCTGCACTCTTGACTGAAATATGTGGATAGATTTTCAAGTTTTCGCAACCCACCATCCCCCACTTAGCAAATGACAAGCAGAGCTGCTGTTCAGTGTGTCTGTGCAGGAAGCCACTCAGTCTTCTTTACAAGCTTACAACAAAGGTTATGGAAGCCGTGGTGTCCAGACGTATCGGCTGCTTCCTCAGTATCATCAGTCTGGAATTTGTTAATGTAGTACAAAACTGATTTGCCTTGACCTTCTACAACAATGGGGCATTGACAATTAAACACACTCCTATTAAAAGCAGAAGAACTAGAATCAGACACCCACATCTTATCTTGCATATGCTGAACAGAAAATTCTTAGTGCATCATAAGTTGCACTAAGAATTTTCTTTGCAGTTAAAGGAAAATGTAACAAAACTACACCTAAAAGCACAAAAAAGAAATACAGCATTTGTATTGTAAAAAGAAAAAACAATGGTTTGTTGTTTTCAAAGCACAGAAACAGATTTGTATGGTGACAGCTGAACTCAGGAAAAGCCACACAGCTACACGCATGTTGCTAAAAAAAACAAACAAACAAAAAAACTAGAATATAGTGGCATAAGTTGAATTTTAGGGCTATTCAACATCTTTCCAAATATTCATATCAGATAAAGATAGACGGAAGACAAGAGTTATTATAAATCATTTAAACTCTAGATGGAGCCATCCTCCTCCTCATTTTATATGCTGAACAGAAAACTTCTCCACAGAAAATCAGCTTTTCAAACTTAGATTTAGGAGTTTTTTAAACTCAGAATTTATCAAAAGCTGGAGATCTTACACAAACTCTCAAATGTTTGTCATTTACGCAAGTTGGCATTAAGTACATCTTAAAAATTGGAGAACTATACAATCAATCAATCAATCAATCAAATTTTATTTGTATAGCACATTTCAGCAACAAGATATTTCAAGGTGCTTTACATAATTAAAAAACAAAATAAAAACAGCATGTGACATTGAATAAACAGTAAGAAAGAGAGAAGAAAAGAAAAGAAAAAGATAAAAAACATACTTTTGTTATGGAATTTAAGCGCCTGCCGTCGCCGGACTCTGCCGTCCGTTTAACACAGGTATTATCCAGGCCCCAGGATGGGAGCATTATGTTATGTGGATGTTTTTCTTATAGGAAAGATTGATGCAATTCACAAAACAGACAAAAAAATTTAATGAAAAGACTGAATCAATTATCTCAAGATATGAGCTAAAATATGAAAGCTTGGGCACAAATGGATTTTCCAAATGAACAATGACCCTAAGGAAACCACCAAAATAAACTACAAAGTGGCTTAAGGATAACAGAAATATTTGGGAGAGTTCAGGGTAGAACTAAAACTGTGCTTTAACAGGGCGGCCAACAAACTTGAGACAGTTATTTCAGTTCTGTCAGGAGGGACAGGCCAGAACTCCAACAAACTATTACGAGAAGCCTGCGGAAAGAAACCCAAAACGTTTGGCCCAAGCAATTCTACAAGGCGATTTAATTCTACCAAATACCAATGAAATGTGTAGTATGTAAAAATCTGACTTTGAAAAATGTTATAGTATATATATTTAAAAAACATTTTTTCTGGCATTTAACTAATAAAACAATCGTCATAATCTTAAATGACCTTAAAATAAATACATTTCGGTCTGACTGAGTGAGGCACAATAAGAATAAGAGGTTATGTGTCTTTGTACACGGTCAATGTAAATCTCTAGTTTCAACTCTATAGGCGAGACAAAAAAGAAGTAGATTATGTTTGTACCACAGAAAAAAACTGAGCCAGAGCCTGACTGACCCACACTCCTCTTGTGTACCTTCAACCTCCCACCTCAAAGGCACCATCTGCCCTCTTCCCCTGCTGCAGCAGCTGACGATATGGATCTCCACTCATGCAGGAAAAGTCACGGTATGAGTCAGTGAAAGTCTGCCGGGGTTCATGTTTGTTTGCCGTCTGTTTCACCGCAGTTCATCAGCATTCAAGCACAGTCAGTTCCAAAAGAGGCATACAAGTGACCCGTGCTGTTTCATCTGCCTTTTGTCTTTGACTAAAACTTTTCATTGATGTTCCACATCTTAGCCACAGCAGAAGCGAAACTGACGTGACTCCATAATTCAACCCAACTTATCAGCGCTGGCATTTCAAACCATGCTCTCCAGGTCGAAGCAGTGCCTTTTTAAACACACAGCAAATGAATTAATTTAAGTTCCCACAACAGTCAGTTTGTTGGCTTTTAACATTTGACAGCACTGTTTTAAACAAATGCACAGTGCACAGTGTCAGAATCCATGACGTTTCACCTTTGTTTCAGAAATGTCAATGTTTTTTGCAGCTCTTTCCAAAGTTGGTTTAAAAAATATTGTCAAACATAAGGAATAAAGACAATAGCTGAAAAGTAACCAATGAAACTCAATATTGTTTAGAGAT